TCCCTCTCCTCCCTCTCCTCCCTCGCCTCCCTCTCCTCCCTCGCCTCCCTCTCCTCCCTCTCCTCCCTCTCTCCCTCTCCTCCCTCTCCTCCCTCTCCTCCCTCTACTCCCTCCTCCCTCCCTCCTCCCTCCCTCGCCTCCCTCTCCTCCCTCGCCTCCCTCTGCTCCCTCTCCTGGAGAGAAGACAAAGGTGGACTTGTTGTCCCCGGGCCTCTGGCCTGGAACTTCGGCGCGCCTCCCCTCCCCTCCCCCTCTCTCCCTCCTGCTCCGCTCCCTCCCCTCCCCTCCCCTCTTCTTCTCCTTCTCCTCCTCCTCCTGCTGCTCCTTTCTACCCTCCTTGCTCCTCCTCCTCTCCTCTCCTCTTTCTCTAACTCTTCCCTCTTCTCTTTCTCTTCCTCTTCTTCTCCTCCCCTCCCTCCCCTTCCCCTCCCCTCCTCCCCTCCCCTCCCTCACCCTCCCCTCCTCTCCGCTCTCCTCCCCTCCCCTCCCCTCCCCTCCCCTCCCTCCCCGCCCCCTTCTCCTTCCCCTCCTCCCCCTCCTCCTCCTCCTCCTCTTCTCCTCCTCCTCTTCCTCCTCTCCTCCTCCTCCTCCTCCTCCTCCTCCTCCTCCTCCTCCTCCTCCACAACTACTCGACCTCGAAGGCGGCCGAGGGGTGGTCCGCCCCCACCGCGTACCGCTTTCACGCACAATATTTCCATGGCTGCTATCTCTGATATGTTGTTGCGACCGGAGGGAGCGTGCCCAGTGTCTCAACACGGTGCTCCCGCTGCAGCGTTGGCACCATTTTAGAATCGGCGCTTTGCTCCCATCGTTCAGAATTGCGCTCTCACCCCTTTTCTGGATCCGAGTGCTTACTCGTCGTTCTAGACCCGCTCCCCTGGTCATCCTGCCCATCCCGCTTCTCACATTCCTGCTCCAGCTGTTGCTGCTGTTCTTCCTCGTCCTCCTCTCTCCTCCTCCTCCTCCTCCTCCTCCTCCACCTCCTCCTCCTCCTCCTCTTCCACCTTCTCATCCGCCACCTCCTCTTCTAACGGACGCAGCACCCCCTTTGTGATTGCCCATGAGACAATGTGGACCCGACTCCTCCCATTCCTCATCTCTATAATCTCCTCCCTCCTCCCCTGCCCTCCTCTCATCCTCCCTCCCTCCCACCCTCCTTCTCCCTCTTACCTTCTCCGCCTCCCTCCTCTCCTTTCCTCCCTCCCTCCTCCTCCTCCTCCTCCTCCTTCTCCTTCTCCTCCTCCTCCTCCTCCTCCTGCTCCTTTCTCTCTCCTACCTCCCCCCTCCTCTCGCCTTCCTCTGCCCTCCTCCTCCTCCTCCTCCTCCTCCTCCTCCCACATCTCATGGTCCGAGAACGGGCCCCGGGGGCCGACACCGAGGAAAAAAAAAGAACGCCGTGACTGCAGAAGACGCCTCGCTTCCAGTCCGGGACGACGGCCCCCGGAGGCCGCCGAGAGGCAGCCGAACGCCGCCGCGGGCCCTCCGAACGCCGGGCGCCGTCGCGGGCCGCCGCCGCCGCGCTCGGCGGCGGGCGCGCGCGCGGGGAGCGGGCGCCTGAGGCGCTGCGGGCGCGGCCGCCTCCACCGGCGGGGGGCGGCGGGCCGACGACGGCGGCGGACGGCGGCGACGACGATCGACGCCGACGATGGCGGGCGGCGGCGGCGACGTCGACCACGCCGACGACGACGGCGGTGGCGACAGCTGACGATTCCTGGAGGGCCAGCCGACGCCTCCTGGGTGGCTCCTGCTCCTGCTCCTGCCTCTGTTACCGCTGCTGCTGCTGCTGCTGCTGCTGCTGCTGCTGCTCATTCTTGCCCTGCTGCTGAGGAGGAGGGGAGGGGAGTCGGGAGAAGAGGGAGGGGGAGGGCGGGAAGAGGGGAGGACGGAGGGAATGGGGAGGGAATGGGAGGGAGTGGGAGGGAGCAGGAGAGTAGAGGGAGAAGCATGGAGAGAGGGGAGGGCAGGAGGGAGCAGGAGTGTACGGAGAGGGGGAGGGAGGGGGAGGGAGGGAATGTGAGGAGAGGGGAAGGAGAGAACGAATGATAGAGAGGGGAGAGGGATGGGATGGGAGGGGAGGGAAGCAGGCGGACGAGGGTAGAAGAGGGAGGGATAGGGAGTCCTCCTCCTCCTCCTCCTCCACCTCCCTCCTCTTAGCTCCTCGTCCTCCTTCTCTTCTTCGTCCTCCTCCTCCTCCTTCTCCTCCTCCCCCCTCCGCTCCTGCCTCCGTCCTCCACTTTCGCTTCTCCATCCTTCACCCCTCCTGCCTTGGTTTTCTTTTTCTCTTTGCGTCCTCCCATCCTCCTGCTCGCTTCTCCTTCTCCTGGTCGCCCTCGAGGAGGAGGAGGACGACGAGGAGGAGGAGGAGGAAGAGGAGGAGCAGGAGGAGGAGGAGGAGGATGAGGAGGATGATGAGGA